AAGAGAGAGAGAGAGAGAGAGAGAGAGAGAGGTAATTAGAGAGAGAGAATGAGCAATTTTGAGCAGGAGGGCGAAAAACATGAGTTATGAAAGACCAGGCCCAAATTGTGCCAATCTTCCCAGATTTCCACGAATTTAACAAAAACTCAACCGAAATTTTCAAGAATTGAACATTAAAGAGTAATGAACAACTGAGAACCAGTTTTTTCCCTTTCTTTTAAAATAATTAAAATGGAAAAGAAAATATCGAAATTCAAAATTTCAGCATAGAGAAGTACGTTTTAGGAGACAATCTTTCTACGTCCCCAATTCCCAATCCTAACCATATAAATATTAATTTTCCTAATTAAATTCCTATTCACTTTCACCAGATCAATTATCTACTGGAATTTTCCTGTAAATCCTCTTCTCATTCTATTTCAAAAAACAACATACAAATACACACATCCAGATCCATGTTCTTCGTATAAATAAGAAAAATCAAATGAAAAATGTAGAGAGGAGCTTAAATCACCATAAACATTGGTATCAAAAGCTTTTTGAACAGACGATATGGGGACCTCAGCAAGCGGCCCAACACAGTGAACGCCAGCATTATTTACCAACACATCAATGCGCCCAAATTTACTCATAACATCTGCAATCGCTTCATTGATGCTCTCTTCTGATAGCACATCGAGCTGTCTGAGATAAACCCTAGAATCCCTGTCAAGGCCTTCCATGGAGGTTAGGCGACGGCTCGTTGCAATAACCTGGCATCCATGAGAAGCGAAAGCTAGGGCTAGGCCATGGCCAATACTACCTATTGTGCAACCTGTGATCAAAACCACCTCTGGTTCTTGTGAAACCGCCATTAAAAAACTGCTGTAGGCAGTGAAGAGAAACCGGAGATCTCTTGTTCTAAACCTGCACGGGGATTTTGGTTTCCGAACAAGGCGAATTCATATTCAATTTTCCGTCTTTAATACATATAAAAAGACACATTTTACACATTGGAAATATGACAATGACCGAGTTGTCCGTAAAACTGTAAAGGGTGCGGTTTGTATAGAGCCGAGGCTCTAAACAATCAAAATAAAGTACATCTTCAAATATGTCGAGAAATGTGGTTTCAATATTAAAAATATTTGTGATAGCCTTCAAATATATTTTTATTTTTAATTATAAAATTTAAAGCTTAAAAAATGGAGTAGATCGAGCAAATTTATAAAAACTTGAAAATCATGAAAATTGACGGTTCAAAAATACATTACAAGATGCACTATTTCCAAAACTTGAAATCGATTTTTTTCTCATGTCCATGCATCTTGATATCGAGATGACTGATTTGAGGATATTTGGCCATAAAAAAAACTCTTCTAATGAAAATTTTGAGGTGGCTTCTAATTTGATTGTTTAGAGCCTCAGCTTTATCTAAACTTTTTCCTTATTTTTATTTTTATTTTTTTGTTTTTTATTTTTTATTTTAGAATAGCCTTGCCCTGATAGGGCAGAGCTAGACCTAGGCCGAGCTAAGGCAATAACTAGCCCGGCTTGTTAACAGCCCTAATTATGAAACGTGATGCATTCATCACCAAGGTGGAGATGATATGAAATTAGGGTATCTCATACTGTTGGTTTTGTAGTGTTAAAGATCATCTCCAGTGTGAGTAATTTGAGAAAAAAGGATTTAAGATGTTAACCATTTAGATCAAACAGTTGGAAATGGAAAAATGGGACATTCTTTCTTATATTTTAGGATGATACTTCTTCAAGTATAAGAGTGTATTCAATTTTATTTATATTTTCCTTTTTAAGTTGTTAGGTTGAAGAGATTACACACCCAAATTTTGAGGTCCTAAAAATACTCGAAGATAACATTTTTTGCAAGGGAGGGAATCGAAGTGGGATAATATAACCTTTTAGCTCATATAAATACGCATAGAAACCATAGTTGTATGATTTTGAATAATTAGAAGTGAGAAGAGAACAATATCACATGTCCAAATCAATCATGTTATAATTAATGCATAATATTGACAAAAAAAATATTTTCTCTCAAAAGTTTCATCAAGATGAAAAGGCAAGTCGTATTTAAACTTGTGCAAATTATATATGCATTGCCACAAAAACTCAAAGTATAATGTTTGCTTTATTTCTCACTTCAGATGTGGCAAAGATTCCCTTTCAATTGGTCTCTTTGTTGTAATCCTTGTATTAACTTTTAATTAATAAAATAAGAGTAGGGCACCATCATCCCCACTGATCCACCCAAAGACAAAAGCTCAGCCATATGTGTATATTCTTCTTTGACTTTTAGTATTTGGAGTCGATTAAATCAAAACGCCAAAACTTGAATATTCTATGGTCTATCAATTAGGGAAAAAGTTTATAAAAAGCCGAAGTTCTAAACAATCAATTTAGGGTGCACCTCAAAAATTCACTAAAAGATGTTATTTTGAAGCTAAAAAATGCTCAAATTGAACATCTCAACCTCAAGATCTATAAACACAAGAAAAAATGGATTTCAAGCTTTAAAAATAGTGCATATTGTAATTTCAAGATTTTCAAGTATTCATAGATCTACTGGATCTACGTTATCTTTGAAGCTTTAAATTTTGTAATTAGAGATGAAAATAAATTTTCAGGTCATCACAAAGATGTCCAATATTGAAACAATATTTTTTGACAGTATTTAAAGGTGCGCTTTACTTTGATGGTTTAGAGCCTTGGCTCTACACAAACCACACCCATTTATTAGTAGTTTAGTTTGGATTTAGAAATCGAATAAAATTTTTGGACCTAGTGGTGAGCAAACAAAGAGTGAATAAAAATTCTGAAAACCCTAAGAATTTCAGACTGGATCTCTTGGAAACACCCTTTTCTTTGTTGTATGCAATGAGACCGTATACAGTACTGGATGCTTCGCTTGTTTTCATTATTCTATGTGAGTCCGGCGTTAAGAATCTGTTTAAATTTAAGGAAAAATTACTTGCAACCACTTAGATTTATTAGAATTGCAGTTTGATTCATATTTTCCACATAGATTTATTGGAATTGCAGTTTGATTCATATTTTCTCATTTTTTGTGTGGAGGTATTTTCAAAAAATAAAAAATCAAAAAATTTCCAGTTTCCTAATTCAAGTTTTCTTACTAGTTTGATGTTACAAACATTATATCTATTTTTTGGCTTTTTCTTTTCTTTTTCTTTTTTTTTTTGGAATAGGATGATGCCTTAGATATCAAACCGACCATTTCCGGGGTAGTCTAATATTGAAAATATTAGATTGTCCATACTTCTTCTTTTTTAAAAAAATTTGAAAAATCGGACCAAGTTAAAAAAAAAAAAAATGGATCGTTTTGAGCATCTTACCCACCCTGCAAACACCATTGCCCTTGTACCAATATTCAAGGACCATATGTTTTTCTAGGTGGTCCACCAGACTGCAAATTTTTTGAAATTTCTACCGTTTAATATGAGTACTTACCCGCTCGTACTTTTCCAAAATAGAGTCTCTAGTTAAGCTATTACTTCACGAAAATAGAGTCTCTACCTAAGCTCTTAATTTTCAAACTGGCGCAGTCCGATGTTTCTAATATTGGACTTTCTAATAAATGCGGTGATCCGATATTAGGCCATTAGACTGTTCTTAAAAAACAAAAAAATTACCGGTTAAAACATCAACAGCCAATTTAGAATAAAAACACAAATAAGGGGGACCTCCATGTAAACTTTTCAAAAAAAGACGAAATCATGATTATGCTAAAAAAACCGCTTCATTCATGGTTTTTCCTAAATCTAACCTTTGTCTTTACTTGTAGGCAAAGTATGTACACAAAATTCAAAATTGAATTTAGTGCTCTATGAATTAGATCAATTATTGAATTGATGAGTGGTTTGATTAAGCCAAAACAAGTTTAGTCACCAAATTGACAAGTTAGATCAAATTTTAAAAAAACAAAAATAACAATCATGATAATTTAAAAATATAAAATATATTGTAAAACAAAGTTGCTCATTTTGATTTAACCAGGTCAAAGCCACCATACACACAACTAGCTAGAAGCAGTCAAATATTATTGACAAACTTTCAATAAAACCTTATTTTTGTTTTAAATATTATTGACAAACTTTCAATGATTATTGACAAACTTCCAATGAAACCTTCTTTTTGTTTTAGACTGTAATAGCTTATGCACCGGTGATGACTCCTAACTATTGAACTAGACTGCCTAGCCTGGTCTTATTAACTATGAATGAACTTGCTGCAAAATTAAAAGCAATTAAGTGCTAAACTCTTATGGTGTTTGCGAACATATTTTTTTGTGGAAAAGTAAAAAATATGCTTGCCAACATATAACCCATAAAAGAAAAGAAATAACAATTATATTTTTGTTGTAAAATATTTATGTCGATCTCAGGCTCGCCTACTCCATGCGCCTAATTTCTACAGTCCAGGATCCAACTCAGGACTGCTGCCTCGTAGTAGGGATTTGTGGGTGGAAACCCTAAACCCAAAACTTCGGGGACTTGTGGGGATATATCGTCATATGGATATGTTATTTGGTTAAAGTTAAGATGAGGATTTAAGATAGGAATTGTATACTATGAGACCATTTATCTTCGATACAAGATAGTCACAATTACTTTCAACCATCTGATATAAACTTTAATAGCTTAAATGTATCACAAAATTCGAGAATTTTTTTTGAAGTTTGGGTTTGTTCAATAGAATAAATGCAGCCACCTTATAATAGTCAAAATTATTTGTGACTACTTTGTACCAAAAATAAATCCTCTCATTCTATACTTTTCTTTAAGATATTATATGATATTCTTATTTATTTTTGACCTAAAGAAAGGGTTTCGACAAGAAAAGTCATCTGATACATGTTAAGAGCTATGACAGTGAAACAATCATAATTTCTCACTAGTAGATATAATCACATTAATGACAACACAGGTAAATCTCATAGTGTTCTTTTACTTTTTTCTCTTCAATCAGCTTGCTTTGAGTTTTGATGGTCTTCATTATTTTTTCTCCATTTTTTTGTACATTGTAGTCGACCCATTTTGCAAGGATTTTTCAAAATGTTTTTCCCCTTCGTCCTTTTGCCTAGGACTGGCATGGGCAAAGCGGCCTGATCGGCCCGGCCCTAAAAATTTAAGACCTTGGACACATAATGTGGCCCTAGGGCCGGGCCTAGGCCACAACCAGCCCAGTTTGGCCCCTCCAGGACTTTAGTTTTATAAGAGATTCTATTTGGTCGAGCTTGGCCAGCACAAGGGAAGGGATAGGCCTGGGCCAGCCCCATAGGCACTAGGGCCGGGCTAGGGCCAAGGCAGGCCTGGCCTGTTGCTAGCCCTATTGTTTTGCCAAAATAACCAGCTCCAACCTTATACTATTAAATTAAGGTACACAGCAAAACTATGCCAAAAATATAGTTTCGGTACCACAAAGCCTTGCAATGATATGAAATCTATTTCTGGCCCCAATTATGAAATTTAAAGTTCTAGAAATGGTGATGATCAAGCAGATCTATAAACACTGGAAAATCTTAAAAATGGACGATTCAGATAATGTATTAGAAGATTAACTATTTTTAGGACTAAAAATCCCATTTTTTTTCATGTCTATAAATCTCGAGGTCCAAATGACCGAATTGAGGGTTTTCCAGTATAGGAATAACCTACACTAATAGACTTTTTAAGTATATGGTACCCATACAGTATAAGGTTGAGACTTTATATAAACTTTTTCTTTATATTTATTCCTTTTTTATTGAAGAGAATTGAAGACTACTCAATTTCTAGATCCAACGGCATCCGGCATCAAACGAGGTGCCTTCCATTTTGAGCGACCCTCTTTAAGGCACTAGACAATAATAAATGCGCACAACAACTACCGAATAACCTAAAAGTCAATGTCAAATCCGATGCC